GGGCAGAGTGGGGGTGGGGCACGTGGGTGAGACACGGATGTTAAAGTGCCGTGCAGCTGGCAGGGGAGGATGCGGGCAGATGGATTTCTTGGGCTTGTGATTAGCCTAACCAGTGACCTTTACTAATCTTTTTGTGTTCAAATCATCTGAAGTTGATTAGATTTAAAAGACAGCCTAAGGACATGATTGAATATTGTATTAAAATATTTGATTTCTCAGCCAAGAGTAATTTTGTTGAAAATATTTTATGAATTAAAATTATACTTGGATCTGCGTGGAAGACTAGGAAATCCTCTCTACCGGATTGTTGCTCTCAGTGTACCTTTGAAATCTCAGTATAGCTTTTTGTAAGTGCTTCTTGAAGATCCAGTCTTACACAACCGACTGCTGCTTGCCTTATATGTTGACAATTAGCAGAACAAAAAAAACCTGGCCAGCAGGGACTGAGCTGTGCTGGTTGGGTTGGTCTTGAGGCCACCAGCTGTTCTCATGAGATGAGGCTGCCTGTCCCAAAATCTGGCTGAAGAAGAAAGTGCCACATCTCAACTGTCGCCTGACCCCACGTGAACCAAGTGAATCAACATTCAAAGCTCCAGTAAAAAGCAGTAAATCCCTATTCTCGCCACTTAAGCTTTCTAGAATTTTTTTATGTGAACCAAGCCAACCTGTATTATATTGTTATATAATTTTCCTTCTTAGAGGGGTACAACTTTAAAAATTAAAAAGTTCTTCGCAGTATTTCAGTGCATTTGAAAGTTTAGAATCTCATTTCTACTGGTCATTGAAAATACGAATTCTATTACATGTGAAATAGTTACCTCTTTTGGGCTTATGCTACGGAACAGCAGTAAGGGCTGAAGGGGAGAAATATTAAGAACATGATGGCCCCAAAGGGACTTTTCTGTCTCTCCCCTCTCAGAGTCCTGTTGATCTGTGGCAGCAAACAGCCTTTGCTAGATTCCCTGCCATTCTCCTCGACACTTTTACATGATGCTGAAGCTCCGTAGGGTTTAGGTACTCCCGGTCTATTTTACAAGAACAAAGACCAAAACAGATGGCTCTCGCCTGCTGTTCCTCATTGACAGGCACAACTTAAAATATTTCAGTGTAATATACTGGCCATATGTTTTCATGTATTGTTCATGCAAACAATTATCTTTTGTGCACAGAGATGCCCGATTTATTTTAAACGCTGGAAGTAAATGCTCTGGTCCGCTTCCTTCTTGTTCTTTTTTTTTTTTTTCTTGCAGATGTTATGTATAATGGAGAAATGAATGAAAAGATAAAGTTACTGTATAAGCTGCATATCCCACCTGGTAAGAAATTTGAAAGGGCGTGAATACCTCAGTTTGCCTCGAAACTCTTGCTTAAAGCTTTTGGGAAATGCTTAATGAAGAACCCTATCTTGCTTCCTTCAGCTGGGAGAACATAGGATTTGCGTTTGTAGTTATGCTCACCGGATTTTAAAGTTTACTCCAGTCAAAACCTTTTTGGGTGAAATTTATAGATAGACACTGTCAAGGCTCACATCTGCCGCGTTCAGAGATCTTTTGCAGCCAATTACCTGCTTGCTTCTAGACAGTTATTGAACTGGAATAACATTTCCGGATGGCTAGTACTCCACGTATATCACATCTTGATCCAGTTCTGATTAGGTGACAAAATTCTGTGGTAGTTTCTCTGTGCAAGGTTTTTAATTAAATGTGCCATTCTTGGCAAACTTCCAACTCTCTCACTGCAGCACCAGTCTTACTTACACTAACATAATTTTACAGTACGATTTAATGAAGTGCTGTTTAAAAACACCTTTGCCCAATTATTTTGCTTTCTTCAAATATGTAAATTTTAAAAGCATAAATAACCATTATGCAGCGTTGGAAGCATTAATCATTACGTTTTTCACTTTTTTTGGCTAGCTCTCACAGAAAATGAACGAGACAGCCAGTCACCATTAAAGAATCCTCTGCTGTCAACTTCAAGACCACTAGTCATTGGAAAAGCAAATGGTATGTCCGAAATGGTTCTCTAATGCATGTGCATAGGAGATAACCAACTCCATTATCTCCACTCGCTGGGTTTTATTTTGAAATGTCAGTTTACTCCAGCGGCTTGAGAACTAATTCTCCTTTCTGTGTCTGCTCCAAAAAAGGTGATGCAGTAGATTACCAGAAGCAGTTGAAGCAGATGCTGAAGGATCTAGCCAAAGAAAAGGATACTAAAACTGAAAAAGAATTGCCAAAAATGAGCCAGGTATGTATACTAGGGGCTATGGTCTGTTTTTAAACGAAGTGGAGAGTACTTGAAAATGAAATGACTAAATACAATGGTTATACTCTCTCAGAAAGAGTTAAACTTAAGCCTGATCTTAGATTCAGTCCTTTACATATCAAGGATCGGGCTACTCTGATCCAGGGAGCAGGCATCATGTTTAAAAACTCTCAGCCACCTTTCTAGCAGCTCCCTCGCCTCAGACTGCCTGGTGAATAGAAAGAATTTCAGACTTACCCTCACCTGCAGCTTAACAGGCTGGAAAAAGCCCTCCTGCCAAGCCCAGAGAATTCCTGAGAATGCATATTGCTGTCCTGTCTTCCCTGACCTCCTCTCCACCAAACCAGTAACTTCTTAGTCCATCACCAACTGGGACTTGCCCCGTCATAGTCAAACGCTGACTAGAACTCCATCAAGTAAGACAGCTGAAGGCTCTCCTCGTCTTACCATCTCCTCCCTAATGCCAGCAGAGCTTTGTGTATGTTGTTGGCACGAGGAAATCTACTGGAAGGAAAAGGGTCCTGTATTAGTAGAACAAATGTACGGACATGCAAAGAAAGCTAGGAATACACCCGGAACCCCTTCTGTGCTGGCGTTGCTAAATGAAGTTTTAAATTGTTGTCGTGTACCTAACCTTTCAGCTCAGCAGGGCCACATAATCTCTCATAAAGGCATCACTTGGACCTTCCGAGGTCCCTTTCACCCTGAATTATCCATCCTATGACTGTATGAAACTCGAGGGCTCACAAGTTTCGTAATAGGGTATGGAAACGTCCTCTCATAGCCTGATAATCATCTGTGATGGGTGAGCGAGGGAAGGAAGGAGGGAAAGGGGTTGGGCAGGGAAGATGCCTGCATTTTATTATTAGAAGAAAAAGAGCTGGGGAAAGATGGAGAGAAACGTCTGAAGGGAAGTTGCTTGCACACCTGTGGAGTGGCTACTTTGGTTGCAATTTGTTCTGTGTAACAGCCACCAGTTTTCCACCAGTAATGGATTGTCCCCCTCGCGTTGTATCTCACTTGCCCTTTGGTCATCTGGGAGGTCCTGATCTCCCTCATCACGGCAGCAAAATACTTTTCTGCTCTGTTCCCTTTTTGACTTGCAGCACCGAGGTCTCCTAGCATCGCTGGGGGTTGAAATCCCTTTGCTAACATTTTTTACAATGCAGGCAGAAGTTATAAACGATCAGGTCTGCACACAGCATTCTGCCTTCCTTTGCAGTCCTGCACCTTCGCCTGACTCCTACAGTTTCCGTAGCGTGGCTGTCCAGTCGTTTGATTTTGGTTTTTCGTCCTTTACAGAGGGAATTCATTCAGTTCTGCAAAACCTTGTATAGCATGTTTCATGAAGATCCAGAGGAGAATGATTTGTATCAAGCCATCGCCACTGTGACCACACTGTTGCTCCAGATTGGAGAAGTAGGACAAAGAAGCATCAGCCTGGGGAGCGGATCGGACGAGCTCACCGAGGACTTGCAGCCTGAGGCCTCAGCTTCAGACCAGGATGCTGTTTTTACCGACACTGTGAAGACCCCTCACAAAGACTCTCAACCTTCACCTGTGACTGAGGGGGACTGGACTGTCTCTTTTGAACATATTTTAGCGTCCCTCTTGACTGAACAGTCATTAGTTAACTTCTTTGAAAAACCCTTAGAACTGAGGCCAAAACTTGAGAATGCAAAGCTAAATCAATATAGTCTCAAAACAAATGGAATGAGCTGCCAGTCACGGGGTGAACATACAAAACTAAGCACACAGTAGCAGCACATCTGTCAAAAATGAAATGCACTGAGATTATGCCAAAGCACATACTGTAAAAGGCTTTCAGTTAGCAGTGGACTTTTGATAAAAAAATCTGTTGGTCTGTGGTTTTCAGTTTAAGAGCTTTAAAAGCTAAAGGGTGTGTAGGTTTGTTTTGTGCCATTGATTTATTAATTATGTTCTTGTTTTGAATGTAAAAGGAAACATCTGTCTACAGCGTGAAGACACCGAAGCCCTCTTCCGCGCAGGGAGAGCAGAGGCTGGCTCCAGTTGTGTGGTTTTTTTTTTTTTTTTTTAAAACAGGGGAAAACACTTCTCAGCTACTGTCCGCAGTTTGTTTGGGTTGCCTTTTTTGCACTAATACTGAAAACTGTTTCAATGCTGGTAATTGAAACTATTTTAATATATTTGATTGTATTCCAATTTGTATGTCTTGCTGAAATGTTAAGTGTACATGGACTGTGCTTCTGATGTTGGTCTGTGAAAACATGCACTTTTCAATAAACCCTTTTTGTACTAGACTTGCATTGATGGTATTTATCGATTTATGCAAGGTAAGCGCCTTTAGTCCCTACTTCATTAAACAAATTCCCTGAGGTAGTGTGCTCACAGTTAATTCACTGGTCAGAACCCCGCGTTTCAGTGTAGTGCACAGACTTGCTTGGGAGAAGCCTACCGATTCCGCCTAGGAGAGCAGCGGGGGACCAAATACAGGGAGTTTACTTTATCCGCAAGAGATTACACACATGAAAGTACTGATACAACAGTTTTAGGAGTTGGGGGGTTTTTTGGGGGGTGGGGGTGTTTATTTTGTTTTTTAAAACAAACTTGGCCTTAACTTGAAAATGCCTGTGCAGTGGCTCTTTATTCCCATAGGAACAAAACAAGAACACTAGGACTCTGCCACCCACACAGGAACATTTCCATCTCCTCTCACATCCAACAGAAGTCTACAGTATCTTTAATTAAGAAAATTACACCATTATGTACAAGCCCAAAGAAAGCAAGATCCTTTGTTTGTCACCTGTTCAACTCAATGCTTCATGGATGACAGCTTGAAGAGACTGGACAATAAAAAAAAAACAACTTGGGAGTAAACTTTCTTTTTGTCCTTTTATTGTAATGAAAATCAGTTTAATTTTCATCCACATTGACCGTCTGTAGACCTGCAAAACAAGAAATTGTATCACCACCTATTACAGGACAATTCCCTTTATGTATATGCAATATATATATTCATATATATGTATATTCACAAGCAAGCACACCTACAGTTTCAAAGCTAGTTTGCTGATCTACTTCTGGAAAAGCAAACTACATAGGCAAGTATTTCACCAAATGTTAAGACAAAAACTTTCATGTTAAATCAATTCTGCAAATAAGATACTTCTCAAGTGACAAGCGGAAAAGGCTCAACCTGCTTTAGCTTTTGACACCAGAGGATGTACTTTATATAGGAAAACACGAACTTTAAACTAGCCTAACAACTATGGCCAATGTTTTTGATTCTCTCAAAATTTACAGGATTATTTCACTAATTCCGTATTCGCTTTTTAACGCTGATCAGGCAAGCTACCAGCCCTGTTCTCTACAGCAGGGCTAGTTTAAGCCAGCGGTGTGACCCCCTCAGCATGCTTTTCATCTGAGTTTTGCATTGCAGGAGGAGCTGTCCCACTTTGCTACTTGTTCGGAAGAACATGGCATGGAGGAAGAGAGGCGGCATGCAACCTTACCTTTGAATGTTGTGACTGGCACGTAGGTAACCAGCGTGTAGAGCTTGTTTGGTGAATCTTCATCCTCATTGCGCTTTCTGGACAAACGCACACGGATACGGTAAGGAACATTCCTAAAACGAAGATGACAGATTAATTTTCAATAAAATAGGTACTAAAACCTGTTAATTCATAGAAAAGAAAAGTTCTCTGCTCCATGGTTACTACCCCCCCCCCCCAAATTCTTAAGCTTTGCCTGTTTGTGCAAAGACATGATGAGTCAATTCTGTTTCTATCTCAGCATCATAACCAGAGCGAAATCCTGTACTTTAGAGATTGTACTGTTTGCCTTAGAGGAGCTTTTTTTTTGTTGTTGTTAAAGCGAGCAGGTAAGATTTAACTGAGTCTTGAATAAGATGAATCCATAATCCAGTGGGAGCATAAAGTCAGAAGTGCATCATCAGTCCACTACTGATCCAGGAAATACACTATGAAGATGATCATGAAGCACAGCGCGAAGATGATCAGCAAAGCAGCTGTTACTAACAAGCATTTCTTACCTAAACAGAAAACAGTGAGGGGGAAAAAAGGGGGGGGGACCCCCCCCCCCCCCCAGCAATCTGTTCTGAAAGGCTGAGGCCCCTGTCAAGAGTCAGAGTACTGCCCAATCTGTATGCCAGAAGTCAGGTGGAAATTCTAGTGAGCATTAGACCTGAACCAAGATCTTGTTTATGGGCATACAACTGATCAACATTTCTTCCTCACAAAGCCCACGGAACCACAACTAAATTGCTCAGATAATTTTGTTCCTAATAGGCAAGTCGCAGCTCAGTGTCCTCCCTTAATAGTGCCCAAAATATGCTGCTGAGGGAAGGCACAAAATTATTTGTCCGCACCATTTTTAAAGTAACCTCCCACCTCAAGTGAACTCAGGATTTTGGGAAACTCCTGTTCAGAGTATTTTGTCCCACAGAATATGAGAAGGAACTTCCTCCTTGCTGTACATCCTCAGAGCATACTTACTAAATCAGGTGGATGCAGTAATTAAGACACAGGAACTCGCTTCGATTTACTTCCTTCTTGAAACAAGTCAAAAGCATTTTTTACTACTTAGATCATCGACTATCACACTAGCCGAGACGGTGATTTTAGCCTCTCCTGATCCTTCCAGAGGAAGATGTTTTACTTTGCATACATTAGCTATTCTAATGAGTGAAAACTGCAGTTAAACTCATGCTGGAAAGATGGATGTGATGACTCTGTGCTCCACAGAACGCAATTCTACCAGTTAATAGAAGGAAGTCTTGGGTTAGCCTCACTACTGAGCTCTGAAGTTACGCTGTCACCTGGCTCAGCTGCTACTTCTTCATCGTATATGAACTGGAACAGCTCAACAGGCAGGAGAGAGAACCCTTGCCCATAAGACCCAGTAACTTAGTCCCATCTTCCCACTCTGTTTTTGAAGGAAGGGTTGGCCTAAGCACACAACTCCAGGTAAACGACTGTAAATGTGTCATAGGCTAGACTCGGGAATCGAATTCCTAGAAGACATGGTTTAAAGCAAGGGTTCACGCATATCCAGTGTATCACTCACAGTATTAATCCCTACCAGTTAACCTTTTATTATGGTTTAAGAGGTCCCACTCCTCACAGGAGTCCCTTTGGACCATCTTCACGCATGTCGAACGCCAGATCAGCTGCCTCTGTAGCAGCGATTTAACAGAAGCTGTGATTTTTTTGGCCCCCAAACTACTTGTACTTTCAAGACAAGATTAATGGCCCTATTTAAAACACACCTCGTTATTTCTTTGTGTAGCACGCTGAACTGATAAATGCTTCGAAACCTAATCCTGTTCAGACACATTACACAAATCCCAGGTACTTAGCCTGGGACTGTAGGTAGCACTAAAAAGCCATGTTTCTAAAAACTGTCTGCTACAATAGGGATTGGGGTACTACAGCATTACAATACCCCGATCCTTCCCCCACCCCAAACCTGCATTCCTTTGCTTTATTCTTATTAGAGGTAGAATGAAGTTCTTTCCATCCCAGAGTTTACCGAAGCTTTGCTACAAGTACAGTGAGGGAGCTGACCAGAACATAGAGGTGACGGAGAGATTAGCTTGGCGTGCACACTGTAAGAGAGGAAGCGTTTGCAAAGAAAATGCAAATACTGCAAGAAGGATACAAATTTTTCTACCCCTCCAAGTCCTGCGCCTCCATATACGCAGTTAAAACGTTCTTCCTCACCCAGTAAGGACAGTTGCAGAAACCTACCTTATTCCTTTAGCCCAGACTGCTTTGTTCAATCTGGTGTCAATGCGAACGTCAGGCGTACCCATTTCCTTCATCGCAAATTTACGGATCTCCTTGAGAGCACGCGGTGCTCGTTTCTTGAAGCCCCTAGGACAAACACAAGAGCAATTTCTTTAACTTCAGGAAACCGTCAGCATTGGACACTGGTTGCAGCACTCAACCACTGACGTTCTCCAAACATACAATCGAAAGAATTGTGTTCAACAGCAGTTCAACAGCCGCATCGTAGCACGACCAGACCTTTACTCTGGTAGGTAGCTGCTAACCTTAATGTCTATGCCTAACAGAAACCACATATAGTTATGTCAAATAATTTCAGTAAAATTTTGCAGCTGCAAGATCTCCTGGATCTTAAGTCTTATTTATAACATGTCAACACGAAAACTTCTTGCAGTATTACTGAAGAGATCGGAGCCTTCACAGATACTCTAAATGGAAGGCCTATTAAAAAAGCAGTGCCACAATGGTAATACAAACTTGACAGAACTGTTCAGTACCGAAATAATCAGCAGAAGAACAAAACTGATGGCATTCTGAGTAACAGCTTCTGCTAAAGGGCGTTTGATGGTTACTTTCTTCACATCATCACGACTGGACCGCCATCAGAACTGTTTTTTTACAAGTATAGCTTGTCTCATGCCTATTATGGACAGATTCTGCACGACTGGGCATTTACACTGAAAGTTACAGCTGCACTGCGAGAGCTTTGCTATGGATATTGCACCCACGCTGTGACACGCGGCTATAGCGTCAGTAGGGTCTAAGGTCCCACAGTGGGTTATGTTTAGTACTCTTTGTACGCTACTGTCGATATTTAGTGCTAGAAATCACGGGGGGGGTGAGTGATTAAAAGTGAGACAAGCATTAAACAAGAAGTTTTTCCCCCCTAGCACTTCATGCCTAAAGAGAAAAGAGGGTAACAGCAAAAGAAAAGGGGATAGCAGGATCGTCGTCACTAAGAATAGACCGAACCGCCATAAACAACCAACAGGCAAGGCCAGGACATCTTACTGCCACTTCAAGGTACCACTGCCTCCCATCCTCAGCCACAGTCTTGTCACAGTCCGCTGTCTCGTTTCTCTCCTATTCTAAGTTAACTTCAGCAATTTCACCGATTGTTTTGAGTCGGATACAGGTTTTTTTTCCGGCATGACTGCAGCCATACAGATACGGAGAGAATCGAAGGGAGATGCAGTTGCTCAACAAGCTCTCTCAAGCACTTTACTACTACACCGTTGTTCGAGGTTCCACGTTTTGTCAGGTAAAAAGTTACTCTCATCTACACACAACTAAAACTGTTTAACCCAAATCATACCCCAATTTACACCTCGCACAATTTAGTGATAAGCACGGAGGCAATCATTTGATTACAACAATATTTAATTTCTAAAACCTACTGTAGCGGGCAAAATTTTAAACTTCGCTTGGGAAAGAACGATGGCCTGTGCACAGAGGTAAACAGCTCTAACTTCAAATTACGCCCAGGAACACTCACAAAAAAACCCAAACAAGCTCGTTCCTGAAAGCCCCCTGCAAATATAGGACTGCACAGGTACAGAGCTGCTTCCTCGGGACACAACCCTTGCACAAGGGACTGAAACATGACGCATCAGCATCGGTGCCGGTAAGGACTGCCGTCCTCCGCAGTTTGAAGCCTACCGAACCCACTTCCAAACGCCACTTTACGTAAGGCCAAGTTCACCCACAAAAGCCAAGAACTTACACGCCATGGATCCGCTTGTGAATGTTGATGGTGTATTCCCTAGTTACCACCTCATTGATAGCAGAGCGTCCCTTCTTCTTCTCGCCACCCTTCTTTGCAGGAGCCATTTGAGCAACGCTGAAAAGCATCCGCACAGGCGTCAAACCCAGAGCCAACTTCCCTCAAACTTCTC